GCTATGTTTGTTTATCTATTATTTTCGAGTAAGAGTTTCAGTTATGCCCTACTGAAATGCAAACAAGTCGCAGCAAGTGCACATAATATGCATTATTGATCACAGTAGATCTTTTACTAATTATATTGTGGGGTGGAATTTCACCTACACTACGGCTGTAGAGTTCAAATATCCTGCTGACCAAGAAAGGAAAAGGGTGTGATTTTTAAGTATGCAACCGTTGGTGTGGATCATCTCATTATCAGCTGTAACTGCTGCTGCACAAGGGCAATAGGGCGATGATGTTGGTCGTTCACGAGTTTCCGGGAAATACGAAAATATAGCCCTGTACGCACAAGAAACACATGAATTCAAAAAGCATTTTCCCAAGTTAGTTTTACTTTACGCAATGAACAGAATTGAAGTGCCAAAGTTTAGCGGCCAGCCATGCATATCCCGATCAGTGTCAGAGTTACCTCACTCATCCTAACAAGAATGCATGTTTTTCCTACAAGAACATGGTCTTAGGCGAATATGTTTATTTGAGAACATTTATTCAATTGTACTTCTAGCAGATAAAAGAAGGGTAGACTGGAATAAGCTTTTATGCACAATGCAAAACTGCATATAACTGCTGAAAATTCAAAAATAAGGCTGGGAACACCTGCGTAGACAAATCGGAGTATGTCTGTTTCACATTTGAAGAGTAAGAACTAGCATGTGTTATAGCTTATAAAGTGACACTTCAAAGGGGTCTGACTTGTGCGACAAGGTAGTGGTAGTGGTAATCAGATTACGTAACCCTCCAATTTCCCTAATAGCAAAGGTGCTTAATACTCGTTTTTATAATTGTTTAGTGCGACTAATCACTTACCGTAAGCAAGCAACATTTCGCTGATCCATAAATGGTTTAATTTGCAGCGTTACCTTTCTTCGAAGTTATTTTAGGCTTTATAGTAATTCTTTTCCAATCATTACTGTCTGAAATCCGCAATTTTTATCAGTACTACTTTTTCAATGAGAGGTGAATTGGAATATGTATTTAGACAATATAGGGATAGAAGAGGACTGTGATGTCAGCAAGCGAGATGGCTGACTAATGCCTACACTACCAAAATTGTTATCAAGGAAAAATAACAAAGGCGGTTGGAGAGGCTCTCCAAGTGACAATGATAGCAACCCCTCTTCACTCCTCTCAAGGAAGTGGACCTTCGCGTTTCCCTAACTCAAGATCATGATCTAGACTGGTGGTACAGCATCGGTATTTAGGAGGAAGCGAGGCAGAAGAAGGTTCACCTCTACCCTTTAGCTGCGTCCACGTGGACCTGCTTATGTCCCATCCGCTTTGTTAAACGTTTAGTGTAAAATCGTGAATACTGTCTATCTGTACTTTCTTTGTCAACAACGCAGAGTTGTCAAGCCCAGACTTCTGTTGAAGATGGCATAATATGCATGAGTGTAGCTAGGGCATGGAAAATGTAAGCCAGATGTGGAGATCTGTCGACACAAGTTGGGTAAATCAAAAGTCCCATCTCGAGAGGGTAATCGAAGAAGGTTAGCAAGCAGAGAAGCCTAGACTCTTGCCTTCCAGTACTTTAAAGAGAAACCATTCACTACGTTGATGAAATAGCATCCACCTATTCTACTTGGAATAGGGAGGTCTGGACAACTGGTAGATATAAACATGCAATGGTTGCGTTGTGTATATTTTCCGTAAGAGATTGTTGTGTTAATAAGCGATGTTGTCGTGCGCACCGGCTACATTAGACCCACTACATTCACAGCACTCTCAGAAGCTTGTCACTCAGCTTCTGTGTCATGACTGGCTAATGAATGTAGAAAATTCTTGACATCCCTTGGTTTAAACACCGTACGTGTGTACACAAATACACAACGACATGTGAAATGAATAAAAGAAAGTGAGGCTAAAATTACTGCTTTATATTAATGCTACAACAAAGAGTTAATTTACGCAAGTAATTTGCAGCATAGTGTGCACGTTACAAATGGGTTCTAAGCCGTCCAAATCCATCCCTTTCTCACCGTCCGCTCTGACCAATTAATGGTGTGGCTCACACCTCGATTCCAAACTGGCAACCACTTTCCCTAGCGAAAGGAAAAAAACATCACCATCACCAACAATTTGACATGTCTATTGGAAGAGAAGATAAATTAGATGGTGATGGGAGCGAATAAGTCAAAGCAGGCGGATGAGAAATAGAAGAATAGGATGGCAACGAAGACCAAGTTAAGGAATCGCATTAGCGCATGAAGCTAAGAATGAAGAACGCCAAGACAAAGAAGAAGACATTTGAGGAGTATTGATAGAACATAAATGCGATGGATGAGAGGGCAATCAAGTGGATAGATATAAATTACGATGCCAAAAATTCGGACTACGAAGTGATGAGCAAAAGTTTAAGGGCGGGTACAGCCCCATTATGGCAAAGAAGATCCTCAGTCAGTGAGCACGCAGATATGAAATAAATAGCATTTTCCCTTCTTTTAGCCATGAAAAATGCGCAATAACCAATCTCAGAAATGTGGTTATATGTGTGATTAACCAACCCTAACCCATGGTAAATTGTTACTCGTTTGGTATCTCCGTGGTTGCACATATAAGGAGATCTCACACCCTCATGCACCCACTTGGCTATTTGTATACCCATCTTCAACCATTGCTCGTCAGATAAGGGTTAAGAGGTCCTCTTAGAGTAGTGGCAAAACATTGCGTCAGTTAGGAACGCGACTGTGTGGAATCTTGACTTACGCCCTGTCAGAAGTTCTGCCTTTGATTAAGCAAAGGCATGACTACTAGCTTCCACTGTATTCTGTGGCTCGCATCCTCAACCATTTCCAATTTGTTTGGTTCCACAAAACACGAGGTCACAAAACTGGGAAATAGGATTAACACGATGCGAGAAGGTGCGCATTTGCCCACTTGAATGATGCAAGATGCAAGACCGGTGTGAGCTTACCTAAGATGTAAATGTAGGAAAAATGACATCAAAATTACATTAATTCTAATAAAGAAGTGTTTTTTGCACCTGAGATGTAGCCACACGGTTCAATTTATCCAGAGATAAATGTTGCCATATTAGTACCCTCAACGGGCAAAATGGACACGAGATGTGATGTCTACAACAGGATTGTTCATCTGCTTTTGGGCATCTAGCATGCACACCCACATAATCTGCAGCAACTGCAATGAAACATCATGTATCCATGGAAGCTGCATTGAGAATGGCAATAGACTAAAGGATCGTATTCAACAACCGCCTAGGAATGCTTTTATTTTTACATGAATCGGAAGAACATACACAAATAGTTGAAGTGTTGGCGCATGAGTCATTTGGCATCCCATTCTACTTCACAAACTATTAAAAGTAATCTTGCGTTACCTTTGTCAACCAGTAGTGGATCAGAGGCATTGGATATTGCTTTAGATTTCACAGCACTGTCTTAAGCTCATTTAAGCAACGGAGAATACCCAGTAGGTTTAAAGTTGTGGCACCACTCGAGGTATTTAGATACATTACAGTGTTATTCGACTCTTTACCACAACACCCAATGCGATTGGCACAGCTTAAGGCACAGTAACAAGTGTCATAATCAAGCAGTGAAGAAGTGCTGCTTGGAGGGTAGCGCAAATAAAATGCATTCTCACACAAAAATTGCTGCACCTTGTTTTAGAGGACTCCTTCGTCACACCCTAATCGGGTGTAGCCACTCTAGGGCTGATGAAATGATGGAGCAAGTATCTGTAGAAATGCAGAAATGACTTACCATTCTTTATGTCAGCAGCCATCAATTCAAATTCCAATGCGTTTGGTTAAGGCAACAAATATGAGGGCGCAGAAGGGAGTGCCTAATATTTGAAGAATTTTGCATTATTTTAGCCAGAGTAAATGGAGTGGGAAATGGGGAATGAGAAGCACAATTAGATTTAGTGTGGTGTAGACATCAAGGGAAACAGCATAGCTGGATATGCTAGGGAGAAATGAAGCATCGTCTTTCTTGCAATCATACATAAGCAGAGCATTTGTCCTTACACATGATTTATCTTCCTTAAAGGACTTAGTGGAGGTCATCCTCATGTGCTACTTTGCTTAGTTGTCTTGTTCCTACTGACGGTTTTCATCATTCCATGCATTTTAGGTACGTGGATACTGGGGTGGCGTGTCTGTGTTCTAATTCGTGCGTGAATGAAAGAATGAAAAGGCAAACTATCATGCTTTGTCTTCAAAAGACTATAAAAGTGAGGTTCAAGTCTTTTTATCATCGCAAGCTGCGCAAATTTAGCTAAGAAAATGCAGTGATAGACATTTTTCTAAGAAAACTTGAGAGAGATACGTGCAGATTACAACTTTTCTTTGTGTAATTGTAGGTAGTGATAGCAAAGTTGTTGCCAAAATTTCTGTTTCTATTTTCAGAAACTGGAAACAAGTCATCAGTCATTATCAATGTTAAAGCAACCAATTACAAGAGCAGCGATTAAACTGACAGACGGC